AACCCCATATTTTTGGGATCTTATGGAGGCTTTATTATGTTGGCATGATTGATAATCATTAATTCCATTTTCAGCCCTCGCCCCTCTCAAGAGAATGGGGCGAGGGCTGAAAATCCCAAGCTTCTAATCATGACTCCTTCTTTCCAGTGACCAGTCCGTTATCTAGGAACCATCCGGGAATCCACCCGAAGTCACCTCATTAGAACAAAAGATGCTTGTAATGCTCTTATCACTTAGGAATTGATGTGGGTTTTAGGAGCTGTGTGCCAGGAACCGGAGACAGAGACCATATATTTTCTATTATTTCATGATAGATGTATGTATGTTGGAGGCATGTCTGCCTTCATATGCACTTGCACCAGGCCCCACACTTGGGAGGACTCCATAGTTGGTTTAATGCTCTGCTGTTGCTGTCTTAAAATTCTTGGTAATTTTTCAACAAGGGGCCCTGCATGTTCATTCTTTATTGGGCCCCACATAATATGTAGCAGGTCCTGATTGGATATAAGGAATGAGGAGAAAAAAAGCTCAAGGATTACACTTAGGTTTTTGGCTTAAACAGCTGTGTGGATGGTACTGCATTTGGAGGTGGAGTTTGGGAGAGAAATTAAGAATTTTGATTTGAGCATGTTAACTTAGAGCTGCCTTTTAGACATTGTGGTAAGATATTTGTTGCTTGCTTCCCCAGCATTCATTTCCATCTTCCGGATTCCTGGCTAGACCCTGTTTCCCAGCTTTGTGGTTAGGGTTTGATTGGCTCTATTTCCAGCCATCCACATGCTGTCCTGGTATGGCAGCCTCTGCCATATAATAAGTAATCTACTAAGCCGAGTAGACTAGTGCTCTTTGTAATTCCCTTCAACCCTATATTAAAGAATAAGGGGGGAAAAGGATAAGGAAAGACTGACTCTTTGAGAAGGAGAGGCAAAGGCTGCAGAAATGGAGCCTAAAGTTTTTTGTCTGTTTGTTTGTTTTATCCCAGGCCATGGATACTTGTGGGAGAATCTGCTTATTTTCCCAGTATCTATCCTTGCCATCTTCCACTGTTTAGCTGGGTACATGGTCTCCTGGTATAAAGAGTACATTTCCCAACATTCCCTGGAGCTAAGTACACAGTTATGTGATTATATTCTGTTTAATGGGCTATAGGGGGACGTAGTATATACATTTTGCTGGACATATCCTTAAAGAGAGGGGGCATGCCATGTCTCCTCACTTCAAATTTCAGCAGTCTAGAATTTGAATGCATTGACAGAAACACCGTAGTGAGCAACAGACAAGAACACTGGTCCTTTGACACCACGGAGCCATGCTAGTTTTGGATTGCCTACCTCTTATCTTTTATAAGAGAGCTAAATTCTATCTTATTTGAGATAAGACTATTATCCACCACTATTTTGGATTTCTGTCACATGTAGATAGTGTTAATCCTAAGTGATACAATGTTCATATAATTAACTCCTTTTCTTCTCATGGTACCTAAATAATGATATGTTTGTTACAAACAAGACTCTAATAAGGACAATTTTTATTACTCAGGCCATGTGCAATTTGGTCTACATACACACTGAAAAAACCCCTATTCAACCCATATTTTGCTTTGCCTTTTAAGTCCTCAAAAGAAATATAGACATTTTACTAGGATCTATATTATTAAAAGCACCACTACTTTCTCTAGGGAAGCAACAATTGATCCACATTTTTCTGGCACCAGCTCACATTTCATAAACCCTTGTTTAAAATTAACCCAAACCATTAAACAACACAGAAAAAAAAATTCTTTTTAAATTACACTATAAAAACTGCCTTTTGAGAAACTGAAACAGGTGAGTTTACATGTAATCTCAGATAAGGTGACCAAATATCCAAAATTGGCTAAGACAGTCCCAACTCCCAGATTGCTGGCTGCTCTGGTTTCTGTCTCAGTACACGTCCTGTGGTTCTGGCCAGATGTCATCCAACTTTAGGATGGGAATGCCTGCCCCTACTTGGGCGAACAAGTTACTAAAAATGGGAAGAAATAATAGGAAAGTGGAAATGGCAAAAAACTAAACTTTGATTGCAATTTTAGTTACATTTTGGTTCTTTGTTTGACAATGTTTGTAAGCATTTGTCAACACGTGTTGTTTAGTTTGGGGTCTTTGAAACTGTATGGGATGATCCATTTCTAGGGTTTGATCAGTATTTTTAAAAAGTGATATTGACTATAATAGACTAGAAAATGCCAACATGCATTTCACATACTAAAGATGAGTAGTTTTCAAAAATTTCTATTTATGTTTTATCTGTGAGTCTTTGGTGCAAGAGCGTGATCAAAAGAAGTTTAAAACTCACTAAATTTTAGTCATTTAGGAGTACACTCAGCCACTGTCTCTTGTATCATGAAGGAATATTAAGAAATTTTAAACCTTTCATTCAATAGATATTTGACATATATAACATTAATAGTACTTGTGCATCCATCACTTCCCTGTGTTTCCCTTAAGCCCAATTCTCACAAGTTTTCCAGGGCTGTTCCAGGGACTTTGCAAGAGTCCGGGACTGTGGGATGGGGGTTGTCTACAGGAGATTAGTCAGAGGACAATTCAACTTCAAAGTTCACTGGACAAATGGTGTTTAAAGACTAAATTTAAGTTAGCCAGTTGGGCAAGGAAAGAAGGGCATTCCAGATAGAAGGAGCAGTATGTGTTAAACAGAAAAGAGAAACAGTAGAGTATATAGGTTCATGATATCTTAGATGTAATTCTGAATTCCAAAAAGTTCTAAAAGCTGAAAGCATTAGGCAAGAAAACCAATTCAATCTGAACTCATTGGTGTGCTGCATTTGTCCCATGAGTTCAGATTGTTTTTATCATATTACACTGATATCCAGTCAGTCTAAAATATGGTTATGGTCCGCAAGATGTGTATTTGAGTTCTAAAAGAATATATAATTATAAAAGACTGGTGCATTAACTATTTACTTATCAGTTTTATAGAAAATGTTTTTTTCCTCTTTAAGTTTTTTTTTTTTTTTTAAGATTTTATTTATTTATTTGACAGAGAAAGACACAGCGAGAGAGGGAACACAAGCAGGGGGAGTGGGAGGGGGGGAAGCAGGCTCCCCGCAGAGCAGGGAGCCCGATGTGGGACTCGATCCCAGGACCCTGGGATCATGACCTGAGCCGAAGGCAGTCGCTCAACCGACTGAGCCACCCAGGCGCCCCCCTCTTTAAGTTTTTTTTAAAGATTTTATTTACGGGGCGCCTGGGTGGCTCAGTCGTTAAGCGTCTGTCTTCGGCTCAGGTCATGATCCCAGGGTCCTGGGATCGAGCCCCACATCAGACTCTCTGCTCCATGGGAAGCCTGCTTCTCTCTCTCCCACTCTCCCTGCTTGTGTTCCCTCTCTCGCTGTGTCTCTCTCTGTTAAATAAATAAAATCTTTAAAAAAAAAAAAAGATTTTATTTATGTATTTGAGAGAGAGAGAGAAAGAGAGAGCAGGAGAGTGGGGAAGGTCAGAGGGAGACACAGACTCCCCACTGATTAGGGAGATCAACTCAGGGCTCTGTCCCGAGCATCAGAATCATGACCTGAACTGAAGGCAGACCCTTAACTGACTGAGCCACATGGCGTCAGTCCTCTTTAAGTTTTAATGAAAATAAAACCTCAGGGGCTCCTGGGTGGCTCAGTCAGTTAAGCATTCAACTCTTGATTTTGGTCAGGTCATAATTACAAGGTTGTGAGATCCAGCCCCTTATCAAGCTCTATGTTGAGTGTGGAGCCTGCTTGAGATTCTCTCTCTCCCTCTGCCCCTCCTCCCACTCATGCTTTCACTTTCTCTCTCTCAAAAAAAATATTAAAACTTCAAAATCCATAGCATTAGCAAAATAGAAATCTAGTAAAGCCAGCACAGTAATCTATGCATAATTATGGAAGAACTAGTGCATAAAATGGTTATATGATATATCTCAGGAATCAGTTTGTCAAATTTATGCACAGCTTATTTATAATTGATGATTTCTTAATCTTTCTCCAATTGTTTAATGATTTCCATATGCTTGCTTGTGCTTTAACTTGTGTGCATTTGGTGAATCTTACCTACCACAGGTAAGTAGAAGTCTATAAAGTAAAAAATTGTCTCCTTTTCACCACCATCCTCCTTCCCCTTTAGCACATTGTCCAGAGGTAACCACTCTTAAGAGAGTTGTATATATTCTTTCAGACCTTTTTTCAAATTTGTATGTGAGCATGCCTTATGTCATAGATATACAAAAACAAATGTTGGGTGATGGGCATTAAGGAGGGCACGTGATGTGATGAGCACTGGGTGTTATATGCAACTGATAAATTATTGATTACTACATTTGAAACTAATGATGTTCTATATGTTGGCTAATTGAATTTAAATTAAAAAAAAAAGAAAAAAAACCCCAAATGTTTCTTGTGTCATTCTCTCACAGAACTGGCATAATGCTATGAAGGTGTTCTGCAACTTGCCCGCTTCACTTATGTTATATATATCTTTTCATGGAAATATGTATAGACCAACCTGATTCTTTTTAATGATTGCCTCATGTTCTATTGCATGGATGTTCTTTAATTTAACCATTGTCCTACTGACGGGTAAATAGGGTTTTTCTATGTTCTTATGATGGCAAATATTCCTTCAGATTTACATCCCTGTACTACCTCTTAGTCATACTTAAAAGACCTCCTCAGTCTCTAAGGTCTTTAGCCAAAACATGTATTTTGTAGGAACTGATACCTTCTTTTCTCTTAAACCAAAGAGAAGTCATTCATGTTAACCTGTAAGTACAGCAACAAAAAGCATTTTGTTGATTTTTTATGAGAATTATAAAGTAGTCACCTTTATAAGAGGGCTCTGACGTGGTAGAAACCAGTTAATGTCTTGCTGTTGACTGCTTTAGCTTACCAATCTCATCTTCTTAAGCAAGGTCATTCTGGAGGTTACTCTTAAAATTCTTCCTTAGTGTTCACTTCATCATATCTTTCATTGTAGGAACATCTAAGAACCACAGACCTGAGGAAGAATCTCCAGGTTAAAGAGGTGGAAGTTGCTAGAATTTAAAAGCAGTGTTTCCACACAGGAGAAATGACCTGCTAAAGGGCCACGGCACCAGAACGCTTTCTAATTCTTTGCCTCCACTTCTGCCTCAAATAATGACCTACTCTAAGAGGAGGAGAGTGTGTTGGTTAGTGGGCTTGCAGTCATACACCCTGGATTCTGCCTCTTGTTAGCTCTGGGCCTTGAGCAAATGACTTAACCTCTTTGTGACTCAGTTTCTTCATCTATTAAAATGGGGACAGGGATGGTGATGATGATATCACCTACTCTGTAGGGTTGCTATGAAAAAAATCAAAGATTAGTATTTGTAAAGCACTTACAGGGTCTGGTACCTAATAAACTCGATATAGATGTTTGTTAAATAAGAATGGCACAATGGTATGGACACTGTGGCTGTTTCTCTGAGTTTCCTGAAGAAACAGCTGTTCATGAAACCTTCTGAAAACTCAAATGTAGCTGAAGTTGCCCAAAATATGGTATGAGCAATCTTCCTTCTTCTACTCATCAGCGCCTTCACTGTAGAGGGGTCTCTATTCAGTGCTCACAGAAGTCCTATATTTCAGTGGCCTGCTCTGGATATCCAAACTTCTAATGAGAAATGGTACCTTATTTAGGTTAAAAAGAAGATGGACTAATATTGGGTGTACGCTTTCTAGATAGCTGTTAGCACATTCTTTGTGTTCAACAAAATATTCTCACAAGAAGAGGAGCTTTACAAAAACATATCACAGAAGAAATTGAGTTAGATTTCAGAAACATAAGTACAATGAAAATTGTTTGGATTCACAGGAAATCTGTGACTTTCTGAATGCAAGAAAATGATATGAAATTCATTGACAATATATATTTATACCTCACATTTTCAGATTTTAATATTACAGCTACTAGAAATGCATCCAAAATTTATTTATATAAGAGCTGATTAGCCAGATCTGATATTTTGCAAGTTTTTTGTTACTGTTCCCTTCCCACCCTAAACCTGCAATTTTCTGCATTTTGATCAATTACAGAGCATGTGAAGTCAGGTGTGAAACTGGTTTCTCTTAATATGGTTATACTTCCAACACAGACCGTATAGCTCCTCACTTTCTCTTTAGTAGGAAGTTACAGGACCAAAAGGCCACACTTTTTGGGGAGCCTCCATATTCTCTGGAGTAGTTTATGGCTTTGGGTTGAACACTATGACCAAGTAGTTTCATATTCTTGTCTGATGTATCATGATTTAGTTTCCCAACAAAGTTGAATGTCTTACTTCCTCATATTATCACTAACAGGATTTGGGGGATTGACACCAACTTTAAACCCCAGCTTCAGGACAGAATTATACTTGTTGGACTTTGGGTGGGATTTCTAATACTGAAAGAGGGAGGGAAAATTTGCATGCTGTGGATAGCCACCGAAGTACCCATGGAGAGTTGGCATTCAAGCTTTTAGACTTTGATTAAAACACTTGGAAGGAAGCTGTAGCAGATACAGCTATAATCAACTTATAATTGGGTATTTTATGTGTTTGGTTTTTTTATACCTCACCTTGTTCCCAAAAGACAAGCAGTTATGTGATTCCTCTTCTAGGACAGCATCAGGAAAAGATGGAGCTCTCATTTCTTTCTCCTTGGCCTGCACAGGCCTGTGCTTAACTGTGTAATAATTTCTTTTCAAACTCTAGTTGCTCAGGCAACTACACTCTTTGCTCTCTAGCTTGACCCCATTTCCTGATGAATGGGCTTTTCATTTTTTCACTTAGTTCTAAAGGCTTTCACATTCTGCAATTTTCTCTGCTAAAAAGCTCTAGGCATAACTGCTTAGAAAATCATAGGCAATCATAAAACCTTAGATTTTTTTAAGGAAACTTAGAGATCATTTAATCCAACCCCCTCATTTTACAGTTAAAGAAATCGAGCCCCCAAGGAGGGTAAATAACTTGTCCAATGTCATCCTGCTAATTTGTAAACTGGCTAGAATTTTTCCGAAGCTAATTTTTTGAATTGGGTACAACTACAACTAAAACTGTTTTAAAGGGCACATACTTTTCCATCTTGATCTTTTAGAGCTGTCATATGAATATAATTTATAGAACCAAATTTACGAAATCATGACTCCTAATCCTAAAAAAAAATGCTGTGATGTGAGAAATAGTTAAATGAGGTTTGGAATTACCATGCTTTTTAATAGAACATTTATCATAACAATGGTCTCAGATGTGGTGGTTAATTGAGGGTTGACTAGGTCCAAGAAGATTGCTTTGCTTTACCTAAGATTTTATTTTGGTGGGGGAGGGAGTTGAGGGAAAATGGACCAACATATGTAGAGAGAAATGGGCATTAGGTTAGGCTCAATAATCTATTGTCACTACTGTTAATAAAATATCACACTTTCTGTCCACAAGATCACAACTCTAGTTTGTAAGAAATTATAAATTATTTTTGTATCCAGAACTTGCATCTAGCTAGAGCCAAAGATGAAAAGTCAGTAGCTTCCCCATGCTCTTTCTATAGACCACTCATTCCAGTTAGTGAGTTCTCCAACATGGCCACAAATAACTCATAGAGTCTTTGAAGAGCCACTCTTCTCTGTTGCTGTATGGCACTCTGTGCAAAGCAGTATATCTCACAAGCAGGCCCATCCCTAACATTTGTGAGCCTGAGATGAATGTGCAAATGTTTGTCTCCAACCTTACCCCTATCTCAATGGGCCATATACCCTTCTGTCCATACTGACCTGAAAGAAACTTGTGTATAAGTGTATAGACTTCACTCTACATATCCAAGCTCTCTCCACAAGTCCGCACACAAATTGCACAAGTAGTCACCTCTTGTCTTCACTGTGGGTAATACAGTCTGCCCTTAAGAGAATAGAGAGGAGCAGAAGGCCAAGCAGGCACCTGAAAGAGGCTCAGGGATTCATGAGCAGGGAATTGCAGGTTTTCTGGATAAAGAGAACTTGGTTTAGAAAAAGGAGAGCAGGTTCCTGATCGGAAAATCCTGATAGACCTGTCACCTTATGGGGAGGAAGAAGGTAGAGGAGGGCCAGAATAAGACCTAAGGCATTGTACCCAGGAAAGAAGTCTTGGTTGATTGGATCAAGAACAGTACTGCTGACAAGAAAACTCTGGGGTTGAACCCTCCTATAGGCATTGTCTCTTGTGTAGGACCTGTACAAGAAATGGAAGCAAAATTGTTTCATGGCCAGAAAGAAGCCACTTCAAACAAGTTATTTTTTAAATAGGGAAGTTTCAAGAGATGTTCTAAAAGAGCCTCTAAAAGAATAACACTGTTCAAAGGTATGACATGTCAAACTGGAAGGAATATTCAAGATTGTCTAATGAAGATGGAATAGAGACCACAGAGACAAGTAACTTGCCCAAGGTCAGACTGCAAGTAGTAATAGAGCTCAGCTGAACACTTGTAGCTTGGGTTTCCAGGTTCTCAGGAATGGGTTTTTTCCCATGACCTGGAGCTGAACCCCCTTGAAATGACTCTAAGCACCATGGAAGAATAGACACAGGGTAGCTCTTATACTGTAAGTGTATTTTTAATGATGTGGCAGCAGAACAGCAAATACCAGTGGTTTCTACAGAAAATCAGACACCAGTCACACTTTTGAGAGAGAGAGAGCACGCAAGTGAGTGAGTGAGGGAGCTGGGAATGGGGTGAAGAAAGAGGGGAAGCGTTATAATGTAAGCGTCGATGCTGAGTATCAGAGAAACTTTTTCTCTTCTTATGAATCAAAAGAGAGTGATGTTATCACTATTAGGTGATTCATTTGGGGAAGTTGGTGCAATGAGAAAAGGTAGAAACGAAGAAAGGGGTTATAGGTACTCTGAATTACCCCCTCACTCTCATTTACCCCCAATTTGGGACTATATATAACTTGATTCATACCCTCCTACCCTGTCAGTAATGTTTATTTTAAATATGAAGGCCAGGAAATAAAATGTATTGAAGTGGCAAGTATGGTCTAAGTATCGATTAATCATTTTAAAACAAATTAAAGTTTGGTCTGTGAAAAAGAGAATTAGGCTGGAGTACAGAATTTGTTTTCCTGTCATAGGCCTGCAGCAAGCCATTTAACCTCTGCAGTGCTGTTTTTCCAAAGGTAAACTGAAAATTGCAAAGCTAGCTCTTAATATTTATGATGGCAAAAAATAGAGGGAGGAAACCCAAGTGTCCAATAACAGGGAAATAGATTATGGAATATTTATATAGTATAATATTATCAACATTAAAAATTACAATTCTGAAAATTTTTAGCAATATACTAAAAGTTACAATATAAGGTTAAGGGAAAAAGCATGATTCAGAAACTATATATATCGAGTTATGCCAACTTTCTAAAATATATGATCATAACATACTTGAGGGGGCACCTGAGTGACTCAGTAGGTTAAGCATCTGACTCTTGATTTTGGCTCAGGTCATGATCTCAGAGTCATGAGATTGAGCCCCACATTGGGCTCTACCTTCAGCGGGGTCTGCTTGAGATTCTCTCCCTCTTCCTCTGCCCCCCCCCCACTTGCTCTCTTGCTCTAAAATAAATTAATAAAATTAAAAAAAAATACTTGAAACAAATACATCAACGTGTTAATTTTATTATCTCTAGGTGATAGAGATGGTTTTAATTTTCTTCTTTATATAGTATTTTTACTATTTTCCAAATTGTGTCTAATGAACATACAGTATACTAATTTTTTTAAGTTTTTATTTTAATTCCAGTTAGTTAACATACCACATAATATTAGTGTCAGGTGTATAATATAGTGATTCAATACTTCTATACAACACCCAGTGCTCATCACAACAAGTGCCCTCCTTAATCCCGATCACCTATTTCACCCATCCTCCACCCACCTCCCCTCTGGTAACCAGCAGTTTGTTCTTTATAGTTAAGAGTCTGTTTCTTGATTTGTACAGTGTATTAATTTTACCACCAGGAAAAAATGTTTTTAACAGAAGCAATGTACTCCAGCCCGATTCATAATTATGTTGTAAGGAAAATGGAAATAAAATAATAATTTAAAACTGAATCCTGACAAACACGTACTAAACAATCTAAGTATTTATGTTAAAGGAAAAAATTGATGTATATCTCCATGTGCAACTTTTTTCTTAATAATAAATAGATGTGCCTATAAATAATTAGGAGTCATTCCGAGGCATTAGAAGAGCACACTATATGTGCCACGACCACATCCGAACTATTTGTTTGTGCTGACCCTGATGTTGAAGAAAAAGTCAAATTGACCTGGATCAGTATACAGCAACTTTATCCAGTCATCAGGAGGGATGGCCAGCTGAGGAATAGCTGAGGGGCCACCAATGTCCTCCCTGCCAATTTTTCCCCAGGCTAATCAGCTTCTCCTCTAAGTAAATATTTAGTAAATAGATTAAATACACTGGCTTGAAGAGGCACAAATCATTGACCTGCCTCATGCATCCCCATGTTTTGGTCTGCCCTCCCTCTAACACCATGCCCACATCATCTTTTCTCTCCAAATCTGCACATCTAATCCCATTGCTTGGAATACTCTTCTGCTCTCTCTGACTGTCTTTCCCTTCACCTGTATTAACATTAGTCTTGCAGGTCTTAGCTTAAGCATTCCTTTCTTGGGAGGCCTCCCCAGTATAGAGGTTAGAGACTCTTAATGTATGTTCTGAC